TTGATGGTAAAGAGCACCCCATTGCCTACATGAGTAGATCTCTTTCCGGTGCCGAGAAAAACTACAGTATCACAGAAAGGGAGACGCTTGCTGTGCTAGTTGCTCTCGAGCACTGGAGATGCTACCTCGAAAATGGCCTTAAATTCGTGGTGTACACTGACCATTCTGCGTTGAAATGGTTCCTGTCATTAGATAATCCCACTGGAAGACTAGCGCGTTGGGGAGTACGGTTATCTTCGTTTAATTTTGATTTAAAACACCGAAAGGGCGTTGACAATGTGATACCCGATGCTCTCTCACGTGCTGTTCCCGTTTCGGCCATATCTCTTTCAAATTCTGTTAACACTACGTCTGACGATTGGTACAAAAAGATATATAACGGTGTCCTTAATAACGCTAACCATTTTCCAAATTTCACAATTAAAAACAACTCCTTATTTCGGCTTTCAAAGAATAAATCGAACCTCACGTCTGAGTTCGCATGGAAAGAAGTTGTTCCTATTGAATTCCGTGAACAAATCATATGTGAGAACCATTCTGTACCAACAGCTGGTCATCTCGGAATTTTCAAAACTTACAATCGTTTGGCATTATCATATTACTGGCCTGGTATGCATCAGAGTGTTGTAAAATACGTAGGTTCTTGTTCAGTTTGTTTAGCGTATAAGCCGCAAAATCACACTACATTGGGAGAAATGGGTCGTCCGAAGCAGTGCTCACGCCCCCATCAAATGATCTCAATTGATTTTGTAGGTCCTCTGCCTGTCACTCGTAAGCAAAATAGTTACATGCTTGTCGTAACCTGCTGTTTCACTAAGTATTGCAATGTTTTCCCTCTACGTCGCGCTACTGCAGATGCAGTCGTAAAAGTATTAGAAGACTCGATATTTTTAGTTTATGGTATACCGCAAACTATCTTTTTAGATAATGGCAGCCACTTTATTAGCTCAACTACTAAAGCCTTGTTTGAAAAATATAAAGTCCCTAATGTATATTTCAGTCCTAGGTACACGCCACAAATAAACTTAGTCGAGCGGTACAACAAAACTATAGTCACCAGCCTATCAACCTTCGTTGAAAATGATCATAGGTCCTGGGACACTTTCATTCCTCAGGTGCAATTCGCAATTAATAATTCAATAAATGAAGCTACTGGGTACACGCCCTCTTTCTTAGTGTACGGTAGGGAGTTAGTGTTATGCGGATCGCACTATACGGACTCTGACTTAGGTGACGAAGTCTTGTTCTTACCACGCGACTTATACGCCGAAAACCGAGGTTGTCTCTTTTCAATATTCAATGATGTGCAAGCCTCATTGTGGAATGCACATGTGAAGAATACCGCACACTATAATTTGCGCAGAAAACCAGCTGAATACAACGTAGGTGACATAGTCTTTAAGCGTACATACATATTGAGCGATAAAGACAAATATTTCAGTAAAAAGTTGGCTCCAAAATACATTAAATGTCGAGTAATTGAAAAAAGATCGCCACTTGTATATGTCCTAGAAGATATGTCCGGAAAAAACATAGGTGTTTGGCATATCAAGGACCTAAAACTCTTCGGTAATAATAAGTAAAAGAAAATTCCTCTATAACATCTTGTTTTTAGCATGAGTCAATAGCTTTATAATAACTACTGACTTTAAGTTTGATAGGACGCGCCAATGGCTTAAGTAATGCTATTGATGCTTTTATGTTTGTTTTATTTTGAATGATAGAATGGAAGTTGAAGAATGAATGAGTAAATGCTAAGAGCAGTCTAAGGCGGGTTTTAATTAAGAACAAAACCCTTTTCCAGACGAGGAGGGGTATATGTAACGTTATGCGTTACATAATCATATTATTACCCTAAAATACTCTTAAATTTAATATTTACAATGCCTAAAACTAAATATTAACACTATTAGATTTAATTCTACACTAAAAACTACTTATAAAAATAAAACACAATTTTATTATAACTAAATTATTTACAAATCATAATAATATTAATAAACAAATTGGCTATTTACAATAATAAAACTACTCACTGACACTAAAATGCAACATAAATTCATCAAGCGGATTTGTATACGTAAACTCGCGCGATGCAACATTTTAGTGCTCCAAGCAGGATCTTTTGTTCTTGCTAAGATAAAACTGCATGACCGGCCGCCCGCGATTGACTTTTTTTCTCGATGTAATTTGAGCGGACGTACGTCACAGAGAATTTTATGGTCGCTAATACGGGAAAATTTAATCTTTAAAACTCGTAACCAATATAATATTTTCGTGATCGTCACTCAGCGTTCCTTAAATAAATAATATCATAAATTATTGTGAAGTGAGTGTCGACCGCCCCGAAACTGGGGTTCAACGCTCGGGATACTAACTTGGCCGGTATCACCTCTCGGCCCTACTTTCACCACACCACACGAGAGTACTCTCTGCCTGGCTCAGCTACCCGTTTCTGCAGCCTCCAGTCGCCAGCGGTATCCATAACGCGACTCCCGGGATCACCAACTACCCGGCGTTACACAGGAGAGTACCTGAACCGACGAACCTAAAGAACTTGTGTGGATTAAGTGCTCAACCCCCACCTGTAAAATTTGTATTTTCTCCGGGTCGAGTTTTTTATTAAATTTTTAATTTGCATGGTATCCTGTTGTCTCATTTTCTCATTCTCTGACCTTAGTTAGTAGACCAGGGTGACCGTGACATCACTCACAAATAATCCTAGGTTCGTAAGTGTAGATCGTCCTTCTACGAAACCGTGTTGTTCGTCAGGTATAACTCGTTTTATTACAGGATATATTTCTTTATAAACAGCTTTTTCAAAGCATTTTCCGAATACATTCAAAATTGATATGGGGCGATAATTTTCTACTCTGCATTTAGAATCCTTTTTGTGAAGAGGGACAATATGAGCCTCTTTCCATACACTTGGAAAAACTCCCTCTGAAACAGACCGATTAAATAAAATATGTAAAGGGTAGGAAAGTGTTGCGGCGCATCCGCTTATGAATGATGGAGGTATTCGATCACTACCAGCTCCCTTTCTAATATCCAATGATGAAAGTAGTTTAAACACCTCTCGTTGGGATATTGAAAAAGAGTGAATAGAATTGCCACAGGTATTCAGAGTACTGTCCATATCCGAATAATTACCAGTTGAATGTACAAACATTCTTTCAAAACGATTACTAAACGCGGTGCAAATAGCTTTACTATTCGTCAACTGTCTGCCCATATACGTCATAGTACTGGGGTATCCTGTACTATTCCTACGTTTGGAATTGATGTACGACCAAAGCAACTTTGGATTATGTTTTATATGTTCCTGGCAACTCGAAACGTACTTTAGATAACATTCGTCTTGCATTATTTTCATTATTTTCCTCAACAAAGAAAACATATCATAATCTAGAGGGTTTTTGTAACGTTTCCATCGACGGTGAACAACATTTTTCTCTTTAAGTAAACATATTAGGGCGCGACTATACCAGACCGGGTAAGAATTACAATTATTTGTATCGAGGGAAGGTACTAATCTGTTAATAGTGCAATTCAGAATTGAATAGAAGTTGCTTACAGACTCTTCGATACTATCCGCTGAAAGCACATTGTCCCAGTCAACATTATGCAGTTCCGTATTTATGACGTCATAGTCTGCTTTATGGAACAAAAACTTCTTTCTAGATAATTTAGGTAAACGCTTTACTAAAATGTCACTAGCATCGATGTCAAGAGTAACATGATGGGGATCCTCCTTCACCAAAGCAACTGCCGAGGCACAAATGTCCAAATTAAAATTACTGAAAATAAGGTCTAAAGTATTACCTGCCTTATATGTGTTCATATTACTCTGGCGTAGACCAAAGTAATTTATTTTGTTTACAAAGTTTACTCCTGCATTTTGAAGTTCAGTGCTTCCCTTTTTTAAATGTGTAGGCCCTGAATTATTCCACAATATATTAAATAAATTGAAATCACCTGCTAACAAAAATAAATCATCAGTAATAGTATTTGCGATGGAAGAAATCAAATCGATACAATTATTAAGACGAGCAGGTAGTAAAGGCCCCGGCGCCATGTAAACCAACGCTATGTGCAAATCCTGCTGTAAGCCTATTGTTCGCCCGTCCACTGTGACCCATACGCACTCCACGTGATCACGTGATCACGCTGCCACTCGACGCGTACGCGCGCGCTCAGTCTTCGACTGCACATTACCATTACACCACCGCCGTTCGACCCGCGGTCGCGTCCAAAAATTTCATATCTGCTGTCAGATAATTCCGAGTCTAGAATACTGTCATTTAGCCAGGTTTCTGTTACTAAAATTATATCGTGGTTCGAGATAAGTATATTATTATAGAATTCTAATGTTTTTGTTCGAAGACCACGAACATTCTGGTATAGGATATTTAATTTACCCATTAAGTTCCAAACAAATTCATGTACAGACCGATTATCTCATCTTTTATGTTTAAATTATGCAAGAAAATGACAGTATTCAAGTATTCTAAGTATAATGAAACTTTTAATTTGCAGTAATAGTGTAATAAAAATAATAAATATCGTGATTGATTGGCAGTGAAGGTGTTATTGTATTTGTATGGTATAGATGAATTTGTGGATGTATTGTGTAAGTGTGGTAAGTATAAAGAGTTATCATGCACTAAAATTGATGTATAACTAAAATATAAAGTCAGGCACTGACTATTACTTAACGAGGCAAAATACATAACTAAATAATTTTCTTTAAATCTGCTTCGCATGATATTTGAATGTATGGTGATTTTTCTGCCTTTCTCGTATAAATGTTTGTTTAATGTTACATGACTCTGGCAATCGAATTGAAAAATAAGACCCCTAGAGTATTGTTCTATGTTATCTAGCGAAGTTTAAAACAATTAATAAAAAAATAAGTCATAAAGGCAGGTCATATTTTAATATAACTCTGTGCTATTTGTGAGAAATGTATTAAAAATGGTCATTTTTATTTCAATAATTCAAAGGTAAAGTACCTTATATTTACAGCAGTTGGATTTATAATAAAGTCCAAGTAATAATACACAACATACTGTTAAACATTGCATTTCGAAACTTCCAACCTGCAAACACACAGGACGTGGTCCTTCGAGTCGGAGTGCAGGACACAATAAAGTCACCCACCTGCGCGGATCTGCGACGAGCGCATGAGGCGGGGGCATGCGCATCAGCTTGGTGGGTCTGAGCGCGTCCAGATCCGCGGCCCACAGGTGGGACGCCGCGTGGTAGTACAGCAGGCGCGCCGCCCACTGCACGCTGGCCACCCCCACGCCCTCCACTAGCGCCCTGGCCGCTCCGCCGCTCACGTTGAGCGCCGATAGCGCGCCGGTATCGGCGGATCGCGCGTACAATGTCCCGGTGGCGGTATGAGCGCCCTCTATGATGGGGGACCGCATTTGTCTCGCCGCCGCTAGGCTTTGCTGCGGCGCTGTCCAGTCTAGCCCTCGTAACCATTCGCGCTGGCCCACTACTAGGACTTGTTCGTGCGCTGACGACACAAAATTAGACCGTTATTCGACAATTTTGTCGATTCTGGCATGATTCTCCAAATCTAAAATTGTATTTCTCTCATTCTCTATACGAAATGAAAGGAAGAGATCGGTTTTAAGTTGAATGAATATGCCAGAATCGATACCAATGTTTATTCTGTAGTTAAGTGGTTATTATAAATCACGCGAAAACGCGATTCAAAAGGTGGTGCGAAGCAAATGCGGACTGTCACGTGTTTCCGATACTACCAAGGAAATTAATTTACATCAATAATATTAGTAGTCATCTAATGAAAATTTGCGTCTAATTAGTATTTATATACGTTTCTTATACGCAGATTCTTTATTTTAATTCGGATTGTCACCAATATCTATTTTAGTTTTGATATTTTGCTGAGTGAGTTGTTTCAAGTATGATCAAGATGTTTTTGAGATAATCTGAACCGAGCCACAAAATTGAGCAAGACTCTTAGGTCTCTTTTGCGTAGGTATCGCCTGAAAACTCAAACTATCGCAATTACAAAAGCGTATACAAATATTCAAACTAATTACTTTGAATATTTTATGACTTTCAAATCATTAGCCAAAAGTTGTTATTAATTCTGGATCTATGTCCGTGTGCTAGCTGTCCTCGTATATAGGTGTTTGTTTGATGAACTCACGCTCGCAGGTAGTGCCGTCGGTGCGCAGGCGCATGAGGTGCGGGCAGGCGCAGGTGCGCGTGCGCGGCGCGTCGATGAGGCACAGGTGCGAGCAGTTGCCGTTGTTCTCGCAAGGGTTATGTTCCACCGGGGGCTGACGGCTTGGGTGGATGGCCTGCGAGGACGACAGTATCACGCGTCAATATAATTTAAACTTACAGTGTGTGCGTGTGTGTGTGTGTGTGTGTGTGTGTGTGTGTGTGTGACGTCACCTTGATGTCGAAGGGCTGCGTGAGCGTCCGCTGCAGCACGGTGACGTCAGCGCCGCTGAACTTGTCGGCGCGCACGACGGCGTTGGAGCGCCAGTCCGTCCAGTACCGCGTGTGTGTGTGTGTGTGTGTGTGTGTGTGTGTGTGACGTCACCTTGATGTCGAAGGGCTGCGTGAGCGTCCGCTGCAGCACGGTGACGTCAGCGCCGCTGAACTTGTCGGCGCGCACGACGGCGTTGGAGCGCCAGTCCGTCCAGTACCGCGTGTGTGTGTGTGTGTGTGTGTGTGTGTGTGTGACGTCACCTTGATGTCGAAGGGCTGCGTGAGCGTCCGCTGCAGCACGGTGACGTCAGCGCCGCTGAACTTGTCGGCGCGCACGACGGCGTTGGAGCGCCAGTCCGTCCAGTACCGCGTGTGTGTGTGTGTGTGTGTGTGTGTGTGTGTGACGTCACCTTGATGTCGAAGGGCTGCGTGAGCGTCCGCTGCAGCACGGTGACGTCAGCGCCGCTGAACTTGTCGGCGCGCACGACGGCGTTGGAGCGCCAGTCCGTCCAGTACCGCGTGTGTGTGTGTGTGTGTGTGTGTGTGTGTGTGACGTCACCTTGATGTCGAAGGGCTGCGTGAGCGTCCGCTGCAGCACGGTGACGTCAGCGCCGCTGAACTTGTCGGCGCGCACGACGGCGTTGGAGCGCCAGTCCGTCCAGTACCGCGTGTGTGTGTGTGTGTGTGTGTGTGTGTGTGTGACGTCACCTTGATGTCGAAGGGCTGCGTGAGCGTCCGCTGCAGCACGGTGACGTCAGCGCCGCTGAACTTGTCGGCGCGCACGACGGCGTTGGAGCGCCAGTCCGTCCAGTACCGCGTGTGTGTGTGTGTGTGTGTGTGTGTGTGTGTGACGTCACCTTGATGTCGAAGGGCTGCGTGAGCGTCCGCTGCAGCACGGTGACGTCAGCGCCGCTGAACTTGTCGGCGCGCACGACGGCGTTGGAGCGCCAGTCCGTCCAGTACACGCGCGCGTCCAGCAGCGTCACCGCGAACGGGTGCGCCAGCGCCGCGTGCGCGCGCAGCACTGTGCGAATGTCCGCACCCCAGTACGTGGCGCATTGGATCGCGTCCGATCTGACAATTGACAGTTTGACAATGATATACTATAAATGCGTTGCGTTCGATAAAGTGCACGTTTATCCCGTAAATTAAATGTTAATGTTTTTACCACTTCTGTGTATTTAAATTGAGGACTTCAAACAAGATTTAATTTAAACTTCGATTGTCGGCCGTTCGGGATAAAGTAGAGAATAAAACTGACTGCAATCTAATAAGTGAAGAGTATATTTGATAGCGAGCTCTAACGTTTATATAGAAGAGAGACGCCAGTGTATGTTGCAACTAATAGCGTTTATCGAAACTCCTTTATTAGATATTCATACAAAAAAACGAGAAATTCAGATTTATTTTGTCATAAAATCAAATTAAAAAAAAAGCATTTTTTAAACATCTAATTAGAATAAAAAGTGTTCGTGAGACGCGCGCTCGATCCGAGCGGCCGACGCCTCCCAGTAGCCCCGGAACATGTACCGGTACCTGGCATCGACCCAGTAGAGGGTGCGCGCGCGATGGTCGAGCGTGATCCCGTTGGGCCACGCGCCCCCCGCCTCCCCCACCCTCACTACGGCTCGCCTCCCCGTCCCCGACAGTGAAGCGCGCTCGATCCGAGCGGCCGACGCTTCCCAGTCGCTCCAGAACATGTAACCTGGCGGCACCACCCCAAGCATTATTAATAAAAAATAGATATATATTTATAACACACACCGATTAGCCTCGCCCCAAAGTAAGCACTGAAGGGCTGGTGGGATACTTGAGTGACGGATGGAATACATACACACATCAAAAAAAGTTTGAGATCACTTGCAAAAGCAGATATATTTTCAAAATTTAACTTAATCAAGAGAAAATGTTTACGTTATATCTGTGTGGGAGTGATTCGTGAAATGGGACGGAAGTGTGTAACAGGAAGTCGCGAAAGCGTACTCTATTTGATTTGATTTTAAAACATAATGTTCAAATAGCTTATTCCTTTTGTAGTAGGTTTTATTTTTGATGTTGAGCATCTTTCCTCTCGCTTTCGTGCAATTTGAGGGAGTCATTACGTGTAGTGGGACGGGAGTGTGTAACAAGAAATTTGGGAAGCGCGCGCTATTTGATTTGATTTTAGAACATAATGTTCAAATGGCTAATACTTTTTGTAGTAGGTTTTATTTCTTTGTTTACTAATATAAGGTGAGGTTTCAAATGTTACACATCATACGCGACTACTGTAAGGTACGCTCGTTTTTTTATTTAAAAATATTCTTTCTGAAATTAAAAATATATAAAAAAATAAAACTAATTTTATTTTCTTGTATAAAAATAATAATAATTCAATCCTAAATCCTAAGGATTGTAATAGAACTTTGATAGAAATAAAAAGATAGTTTAACAAAACTTAAAAACCTTTTATTAATAAATTGTTGTTTATCTAATATAAAATAACGCCTCTGGCTCGAACACATGCGTAGATCCTCCTGGGCATACTGAGGATCAGTTATCCAGCTTTTCTTGTGGTAGTCTGTCCTATCTTTGAACAGCATCTTCCCTGAGCTGTGGCACTGTCTGGGGTGGTGGCTGCCGGTTCCAAACAGCTCGCTGAAGAGCATCCCACGCGTGCTCTATTGGGTTTAAGTCAGGAGAGCCGGCAAGTCAGTCTAACCTTGTGATTTCGTATTCTCGGAGAGCAGCATTGACTCAATGAGCTCGATGTGCGGGCGCATTATCGTCAACCAGTAAAAATTGTTGCCCATGGTTTATTCGGAAAGGTTTGACGATTCCATCAATTGCTACTGTTTTGTATCTGTCTGCCATCATGAAGCCTTGATAAGGGATTAAAGGCGTTCTAGCCCCAATCATAATACCACCCCAAAAGGACACTGATTTCCCGTCTTGCTGAACCGTTCCAGTGGCCATTCTTTGAATTTCAGAGTCTCCAGATCTTCTCCAAACACGGACACGTCGGTTATCAGAATGAGTACTGATTCGCGATTCATCAACGAAGAGGCAGTTTTGCCAAATGCTTTCCCCTTCGTTTTCTTCGATTTGCTGGAGCCTAGCCTACTGTAATCTCCGTCGCTGACGTTCCCGTGAATTCAAAGATGCTTGCCAAGACCTCCGTGCTCGGAATCCAGCCCTGTATAAGCAATTCCGAATGGTCTGAGTGCTTACTTCAAGTCCGGAGGCGGCCCGTATTTCTGCTTTTAATTTAGTGGCGTTTATTGTTGGGACGCGGGCTACCAGCAACCTGATGTAGCGCTTCTAAACAGCTGTCAAAACAGTTGGGCGACCGCTGCGACGATCAGCCGTGGTACCTCTGCAACGTGGTTACTGCACAGGATTGGGATATGGCAATTCTGCGTGCTATTTCTCTCGCAGGATAGCCTTCTTCCCTCAAAGTTACAATTCTGGCTCGCAAAATATCTGATAATCCTCGTGGCATTTTTTAAATCACAACTTTCCGTGAAAAAATATTTTAAATTCGATAATATTGACTAAGTCAGATTTCTGAATGAGTGTCAGCTTGGATTGCATGTCTTTTTATATGGAAAAACAATTGTATTATTTTACGTTCTTATTAAAATTTTAAAATTTAGAATCTTATCAGAAAAAGAAATTACAATAAAGTAACATATTTTTCAAAGTGATCGCAAACTTTTTTTGATGTGTGTATAGAAATCCATGGCTTGGGTACGAATGCTCGAATTGATCATACTACTGAGATTTGCACTTCCGAGTAGGCGACAGATACCTTGAAACCCGGCGTAGCGAAGTCGTTAATTTATCAAATCATGCAATCTTATTAGGATCACGCGACTCCTGAATTCTCCAGCAGTTGTAACTATTACGTAGGTAACGACCATGGAGCAAATACAAAAAGGACATGTTGTGTTGGGATCTACTCTAAATATCAAGTGAAGTCACTTAAAGGATGATCGGTTACAAAAGTTATCAATATCATTGTCAATACCAACAGTGAATGCGGAAACTGAGAGCTAACCGCTTTTTAACCCAACTGGCGTGTATTAATATTTTCTTGGCGTGTCTTAGTATTTTAATTTATTTATTTTATCTCATTTGTGCAGTTACTATATAATATTGGGCAATGATAATGGCGGTTCTTTGTGTCAACTCACCGGCCGTGGGGTCGACGGCGATGGCGCGCGGGCTGTCCATGTCACCGGAGATCAGCGTGCGCCGATACCTACCGTCCAACTTTGCTACCTGCACAAAACATATTTACTAGTCTACACTCTTTTATTATATCATCATCATCGACCCATGCTCGTCCACTGCTGGACATAGGTCTCATGCACGCCACTGCTCCCGATTTTCTGCCACTCTCATCCAGCTCACGCCAGCCAGCCTACTAATGTCATCATCCCATCTTGTCTCAGGGCGTCCCACACTACGTTTACCGTTTACGTTATTATATACATACTATAAAAATTAAGATTTCTAGTTGTTTCAAATGGTGCATTAGAAAAGAAAATTTTAAAAGTGTGTTAAGGCTGGTCTCTTAGAATAAACAGTCTTGTTGTGCGGCATAGCTATGCTGTGAGGGATGGACATAATGTGATTACCTCTATCTGGTGCAGGCTGCTGTCCACCCAGTAGAGGTTGTGCGCCACCCAGTCCACCGCCAGCCCCTCCGCGCTGGTCAGCCCGGACTCCAGCACCACTTCGATGTTGCTCAACCCTGTACGAAGAAACGGATCAAAACTTATTTTTCATCATCATCACCGGCCTATTAATGTCCCCCCTGCTGGGACCTAGGCTTTCCCTATAAATGGAATAGGGCGATTGGGCCGTCCCTCAAGTGCGAATTGGAAGGTGCTAACGACTGCAGAAGCAGTCGGGACCAACGGCTTAACGTTAACGTTAAACTGCGCGTCCCTACATTAAAATTAAACATTTTTTTTTTTACTAAATGTAATTAGTTTTCTGTGGAGTGCAGTAGTGTCTCGTATTATAATTGTAATTTGGCAAGTAATTGCTTCATATTCGACCCTAGAAGTGTTGTGGTGGCGGCGTAGATCTGGTCGGTGGCGACGTCGGTCCAGAAGAGTCGGGGCCGGGCAGGCCCGGGTGTTGGTCCTTCGAGCCGGATACGTTACCGGCGGGCCGCATGGTGGCGGCGTAGATCTGGTCGGTGGCGACGTCGGTCCAGAAGAGGCGGGGCCGGGCAGGCCCGGGTGTTGGTCCTTCGAGCCGGATACGTTACCGGCGGGCCGCATGGTGGCGGCGTAGATCTGGTCGGTGGCGACGTCGGTCCAGAAGAGGCGGGGCGGGGCAGGCCCGGGTGTTGGTCCTTCGAGCCGGATACGTTACCGGCGGGCCGCATGGTGGCGGCGTAGATCTGGTCGGTGGCGACGTCGGTCCAGAAGAGGCGGGGCCGGGCAGGCCCGGGTGTTGGTCCTTCGAGCCGGATACGTTACCGGCGGGCCGCATGGTGGCGGCGTAGATCTGGTCGGTGGCGACGTCGGTCCAGAAGAGGCGGGGCGGGGCAGGCCCGGGTGTTGGTCCTTCGAGCCGGATACGTTACCGGCGGGCCGCATGGTGGCGGCGTAGATCTGGTCGGTGGCAACGTCGGTCCAGAAGAGGCGGGGCGGGGCAGGCCCGGGTGTTGGTCCTTCGAGCCGGATACGTTACCGGCGGGCCGCATGGTGGCGGCGTAGATCTGGTCGGTGGCAACGTCGGTCCAGAAGAGGCGGGGCGGGGCAGGCCCGGGTGTTGGTCCTTCGAGCCGGATACGTTACCGGCGGGCCGCATGGTGGCGGCGTAGATCTGGTCGGTGGCGACGTCGGTCCAGAAGAGGCGGGGCGGGGCAGGCCCGGGTGTTGGTCCTTCGAGCCGGATACGTTACCGGCGGGCCGCATGGTGGCGGCGTAGATCTGGTCGGTGGCGACGTCGGTCCAGAAGAGGCGAGGCGGGTCGGAGCCGAGGTAGTCGATGGCGACAGTGTTCTTGAGCGCGGAGACCAGCGTGCGTGACGTCAGCGCGGGCAGCTGGATCGCGCGGACTTCGTGCCGGTTGCTGAACACCAGCATCGCTGATACGTTCACTGAGAAAGGCAACAATACGATATAACTATTCGTCTCCCGCAACGAATTAGAAACGATGTGAACACTTTTTAGCAGAGTTCATATTCCAGTTGATCTTTTGTGATTTTTCTGTTCCTCTTCTGAAGAAGGCTGAAGCCTTGCCTGCCAGGATGTGCGAGTGGAACAGAAAATTCGATTAAAGATTTAAAGAATAGCAAATAACTATTGGTGACGTATCATCGCATGATATTCACCAATACAGCATAGTTCATGTGCTCGTGGCCATAGCACTAGGTATTGGTGTAGTATGAATTTCGAGGAAGGAACAACGTTGCTTGCGATCAAAGACGCGCTTACATCGCCAGGGGAAGATGGGGTATCTTCCCAGTCGTGCCGACACCGCTGCCCAGGAGAGCGCCAGCGAAAGAACCAGTGTATAGTGAAGTGCAATCGCGATAGCAGATTACAGCTGACCGTCAGCTGAGTGTCAGTGAATTATGTGAAAGTAGACATGCCAGTGCACGATTTCAAAATTTAGCCAATCGGTGGCCCAGTGTGAAACGCATAGTGAATAAGGGGAAAACGTCGCTACCAAGTCTTCAAAAACCAATTTTTTTTTACAATGGACGACTCTTTAGTTTAAAAAGCTTTTTATTTTAATGTTGTTTATTTTATAATGAAATATAATGCTTATGTTTTGACACGGTCAGTAGAAGGTATTAACTATTGAAATCAACGATATTAAATACCCTAGACACACCACATGCGCTCAAAATGTGTCCCAATCAAGAAGTGCTTGAACATCACTCAAGCACTTCTTGGGTCGCAGTCACGCGCGGACCGTTGAAAAGTTAAGATGCCGCAGAGCTCCGAGAAAACAATACTTATAGTACGTTAAGTGTCGTTTTTCGATAGGAATTTAATCAATGTTTGTTAATTTAACAACAAACAATTTTTGTTGTAATACTTGCTTTAAACTGTTTTAATAGAAAATATTTGAGATATTCAAATGCATGGTCGATAATATAGCCGTATCATTTCCTCGCGGTCCGTGACTGCTATATTGCTAATAGCGCATTCAGAATTGCGCATAGAGTCAAAGAAATAAGGTCTATATTCTTTCGCATATAGCAATAGGTCGTAAAATTTTACAAGCTTGCATTTCGATGTGTCGTATCTCTTTAACGCATACGTTTTAATTAAGACCTTATATAGTATGCATTAAAGATGACTTCAATGTTTCAATAATGCCTTATATTCTTTTTGACTACGCGATCATCTTACGGAGTTCCGTGGATCGTTCAATGTACTCGTACCTTTTGGACAGGTTTCGGCCACATATTTTAACAAATATGACGACAGTCTAAAATTATCTTTTTACATGTCCGTCACTATTATATTAAGACTATTTAACATCACGGAATTCATTTAAGAGGACAGCGGTATTCAGAAATCAAATCAGAAATCATATGTCTTTATTCAAATTAGATGTATAGTACAACTCTTTTGAATCGTCCAAAAATTTTTCCCTACCACTCGTTATGGACATATTTTTTAGCTGCGGAGAAAAAATATTCATAAAGAGATACCAAAAGCTACAGAATAACATTGTTACTCACGCGTGCTCTTGCATGTGAATCCGTCGTCAGCGAGGCGGTAATCCTCGTAGCAGGTGCACTTGTGCCGGTTTTTGTACGGCTCACATTTCTGTGCAGAATTGTGTTGTTATTTATTAGTTAATTTAGATATATCGCGAGTAACAGGTGGAGTAATGTGAGCCTTATTATTCTACTTTACATCCCGTTTACACTCAGCCCATTCATGCATAAACTATAGGAAGAAAGGTTAACATCCATGACTGGAGTACAAATGCTCGTATTCATCACACAAACATCTGTCCTCACCGGGATTCGAACCTCTCTAGTCGGCGACATCATGAAACCCGACGTATAAACCACTCGGCCACGGAGGTAGTCATATAGTTAGGTCCGACAAATGAGACCTCGCCTGTGGGGTACAGGGTGTGGGGGAGGACGAAAACGGGTACCGTGAGAGGTGCGGGCGGCAGGCACATTTTTGTCAAAATAGAGAATATTTTAATATAGGTAATATAGTAAAAAAAACACTTACGTCTGGACTTCACCGTCACTTAACATCAAGTGGGTTGGAGTCATTTGTCGGACTTATGACTTATATATAAAAAAATATTGTGCGTGTCAGCTCCGACGCACGACTGGAGTTTACTCCTTAAGTTCGATAGTCTAACCAGACGCAAAAAGAGTTTATTTAACTTAAAAAAGATTGATACTGTATGAAAGGGGAAATTAACAAATTAATGAAAATAATATACATATATAAATATATATTTATTCATTTCATATACATTTATTATAACTAATCGACGAAATATTTTACATTAAACTTTTTACAATAGTCAATTTCAGATGTGCATAAATATATAATTAGGAATGTTGATAAATTATGTAATTATTATTATCAGACTATTATCATTTTTTTAAATATTAATTAAATCAACATTGTCTGCATTATTAATTACAGTGACAAGTGGTTTATGGTTATTAATGTCAATCCATCATCTTTGTTTGTCAAAGTTGCGCGACATAGGATGCGCACCAAAAACGTAACGAGGTCATTCATCGATAGATTTTATTCCTCACATTTTTCTCATACCGGGCCCCCTATATATGCAAATCGATTCTTAAGGAGTAAACTCCAAAAAAACAAGAGCCCGCCGCCCGCACCTCTCACGGTCCCCGTTCTCGTCCTCCCCCACACCCTGTACCTCTCAGGTCTCAGAGGTCTCAGTAGAGCGGTTTAGCAGGAACAAAGCATATACAGGGCGTCCCACGGGTTTGTCACACGGATGGAAAGTATATTAGATATTAAAGAACGCATCATTTTATTTTTCACCATCATCATTTTTTTAAAGATTACTAGAACGGTATTTACGGATAATTTTAAAATAGCCTGCTACAACTGTGAATCAAACTCGTGTAATTTGGAAGAAATAAACACATGACTTATTTTATGACAACTATCGAAAGGGTTTATCATAAGGATTAATAACTCCCTATATGGAACATAGCATTCTAAATGAAAGAAAGATCATGAATTTAACATTTTCTTCAGGGAAATTTCCTCTTACTTTTCCGTGCTTCCAACAGCTAATGTTATATTTACAAACTAGTACCTACTCACTTAATAATACAAGATTTCCTATACTTATAATAATAAAGCGACACTAACACAAACCTTGCACCGTTTCTTTTAATGTAGTTTATGTTCAATTATTAAATAAAAGACAAATTTAGTGATTATTTTTCATTAAAAATGCTATTTATTTAGGAAAAATTTACTAGTTTGATTCCCGTTTGTAGTAGCCGATGCTTTAAAAACTAGACAAAACAAAGAATGCCGTTCTACTTATTATAAAATATTAAATGATGTCCTCGTTCAGTTAAATATGCAATCTTCAATATTTAATAACCTTTCCCTTCGTGTGACAAACCCGTGGGACGCCCTGCATAACGGGTAGTGCAAGCATATAAATGGCTTCTTTGAATTCCTTTGACGTTAACGTTCGAGTTGAGTATCGATCCCCAAAGACTGTTTGACATTCCCATCCCGTTCACTTGCAACATTACGCACTATCTTGAACTAATGTCTTTGATATTGCTAGGAGAACTATGGTGGTTATTTTAGCATAAGGTGTAAATAGTTCGTTATTTTAAAATGAAAGCGCTATTCCGTCCATAGACAAGATTTGCGCCCTAGCTGGGGACATTAACTGATATGATAATGAACGATCTTGCAATGACTACATTCTATGGCTAGCCATGCTTTAACTTGTACAGTGAGATGGCAGTTATCTCGAAATTATTCTGGTGTGTAGGCGGAATATCAAAATAGTGAGTGTCAGTGTAGTGAGTGTCGCGCGTCACCTGGCTGCACAGTCCCCACACGCAGGGCCTGGCGGGTGTACAGAGCGCCCCGTCGGGCCCCAGGGCGAGGGGCGCGGGGCACCCGCACACGGGCCCCAAGGGGGACGCCCAGCACTCGTGCGAACATGTGTGTGAGTGTCAGTGTAGTGAGTGTCGCGCGTCACCTGGCTGCACAGTCCCCACACGCAGGGCCTGGCGGGTGTACAGAGCGCCCCGTCGGGCCCCAGGGCGAGGGGCGCGGGGCACCCGCACACGGGCCCCGAGGGGGACGCCCAGCACTCGTGCGAACATGTGTGTGAGTGTCAGTGTAGTGAGTGTCGCGCGTCACCTGGCTGCACAGTCCCCACACGCAGGGCCTGGCGGGTGTACAGAGCGCCCCGTCGGGCCCCAGGGCGAGGGGCGCGGGGCACCCGCACACGGGCCCCAAGGGGGACGCCCAGCACTCGTGCGAGCACGCGCCAAGGGAGCACATCGGCTCGCCTGCATCACCGAACGATACATTACTAACCAATTATATATTATTTTGATACATATGTTAGGTTCATAGTAATCTATTAGTCGTAGAGACGCTCCGATTGGCCCGTTTTCGAGTCAGCCTGCGCGCTCGTGTCATATCCGCTTTTATATAATATAATTGTTACTAACCAACGAATTAGAAATTATATGGAAGCATCACTGACTAACAAAGGCCGCTGAAACATAATTCTAAACTCATGTAACTAAATTTCAATACTAACGCGACACGCGCACAGACAAAATAAAATACTTTGACTAATGAAATGTCAGCAAATAAATTCCAATTCCATGATCGTCGTGTTGGTCGCAATTTTTTCGACTTGCCCACTTGATCACAATTTGCGTGGAACCACTTTTTTGCGCATTTCATTTCCAATATTAATTTTAATTCGTTGTTAGTGACAACTTTTACTCATTATTTGTATTGAAAAGTAATGAGAAAAAATTATAAATGAAAGTAGCTATCCTACAGTTGTTTAAGAATACAAGAGAAATTTATATTTTTCTAGAATAAAAAGTATCCTATGTCTAAACAACAACATGGTATTAAACTGGACGTGTGACAAATTGTAATCCATTGGGACATTCTCACGTGATTAAGTAACAAACAAATATCACAATTATGTTGATCATAGAATCATTATTTCTCGCCCTAACTGTTTTAATACGGAATAATTATAAAGTATAATTTATACATGCTGCAGATTGAAGTTACATAATTAAGCGATATTGTTAAAGAACTTCAAACGAAGAATTCCAAATCTTTACAACATTTTATTATAATTTGGAGCAACAATTTAAACCCCACTGTGCCTTTAGTACGAACCAATATCGAATTCGAATAGTTAAATTCGGCCTCGATACGTGTCAGGTGTCAAGAAGTTGTGATTTTTTATGCATATTAACATAGTGTTCTTATTACTAGAGGATTCTAAGTGCAATCACGCATTTTCTACAAATGAAAACTTGTCTATTTTGCCATTTTTAAGCGAATTACGGGGCAACAGAGTCAGGAATAACTTTGTTTAATCGTACATACTAACATCAAAACATGCGTTTAATTAAATCGTAATAAGTGTGTATTATTATGCCACTATCACTCGAGAAATATAAAGCTATGGAATCCAGCTCGAAGGACCACAAAAATGTTTCACTCTCCATACACCATAGTTGCCAGCATCTTAACCTTTAGCACGAACCAATATCGAATTCAAATCATTGAATTCGATCTCGATACGTGTCAAACGTCAAGAAGTTTTGTATGAAAATTTGAACAGCGCTGCAATGGACTTACAGAGAATTTAAAATCTTTCATACAATTTTTTGAAATTTGACGAGATCGAATTCTACTAGTCTGTGCAGAAAGAGAATGGGATTTAGATTAGAGGGTGCTGTAGTGCTTTTCTACCGTATTTGTAAGGTTTTACCCCTTTTAGACATGATTAAATACAAAAAACCGCAAGAAATCACAACAACAAACAAATCCGTATCACTACAAAACTTTGACGTTTTACAGATTGCTGGGTTTAATTGCCAAATAAAAATCTTAATGTTAGTTCCGTTTTTCGTCACGCCCATTCTATTTCCGCACAGACTCTATTCGAAATCAATATCGGTTCGTGCTAAGGGTACTAAAACGTCTGTTGTATGATATCGAGTGAACACTCACCGCATCTACCTCCTTCGTCAGCGCCGTCGTCACAATCTGCGTTTCCATCGCAGTGCAAGTGCAGGGGGACGCAACGTGTATTATTATCGCACGCTAGCGCGGGCGGCGCGCACTGGGCGGCCGGCGCGGTCCTACCGGTGGAGGGGGAGGGGGAGGGGGAGGGGGGGGGGGGGGGGAGGGGCGACGGCGCCGGGCACTCTGCTTCATCTGACCCGTCCAAGCAATCTACGCGTTGATCGCAACGAAACTCCTGCCAACAAAATTATAGCGTCTTAAATCCTATTAGGGAGATTTTCTGCTCGAATTGGAGCGCCCATCTAAGTAAGGTAAGGAACCTCAATCTTGCAGAAGCAAAATGACATTATATTTTGTTGGAGTTATGTTTCTGTCGGTGTCATAAAAATCAAATTTTACCAAAATGTCTGATTTTCTAAACGTATTTGTGCAAAAAATACAGTAAATTTTTATTGTTTGGCAAAAAAGTTAACTCCGTGATATTAAATCAAAATCAATGAGAAAAAGTCGAACTCATTTCTCAAATCTTTTAATACGATTAAGGACATATGCTGATTCCTATTCGATTCGGTAGTTTGACACCCTTTAAACATAAATAAATGGAAAACAAGGAACTGCTCAGGCTTTCTCGTCTCAGGTCGTTGCTCAAGATGTTACCCGGGGTGTATATGTGATTAATTAAAGATTTACCTTCCTTATGCATTCGGTGTTTTTGCATTGGAATTCGTGTTCTTCACAGAGGCCTCCTTTGTCAGTGTCGTGTTGATTGGGGTGTCTGCGCATGAGAAATAAAATGTGTCGATATTATTACAATTACTTTTACTAATTCGTATTATCAGATTCTCTATAGTGCCACAGCTAAGCAAACGTAACTTTGAAAAGAGTACATTAATATAATTTAATTTTTTAAGCATTTCACTACTGCTAGCGGTCTTACCAAAACAAATAGATACGGTTTTAAACCATGTTAAGGCAAATTTTGTCTTATATTTTTTCTTGTAGTCGTATTCAATGCATGACTAACCGTATGTCGTAATAAGTTTTATGTTTAAATCCAAAGATTTTTTTTTATTAGAAAAAAATACACGCGGTCCAGGCAGTAGACAATTAAGGGGCAGGGACGCAATGAAGGGTACCTATATTATAAATTTATACGGTAAGATAGTGATCGCTAACAATCTTTTTTATTATAATATAAGTAAATTTTATACTTAAAATAGCGTACCTAGTTCATTGAAAACTTAAGTATCCGTGTGAGAAAATTCTAATAGCCAATTGGAGAAACAAAATTTACTAATTCGCCTTAACGTGTCGTGATCGCTCAGGACCCCCCCTATATGACTCACGCGTGGTGATGGTGCGTGGAGGCAGCAGTAGTAGTGTCAGTGTCGGCAGTGGTGGCGGTGGCGCAGCTGGCCTCGTCGGAGGCGTCGGCGCAGTCGGCGTGTCCGTCGCAGTAGTACTCCCACGGCACGCACGAGCCGCGCCCGCACGAAAACATTAGGCGGCTGCCGCAGTCTATCTCCTCTGAGGAACGAATACCAATATGAAATGAAATGAAATGAAATTTATTTATTCACACAAAACGGAGTAGATACATTTTGGTGGTGATTTGCATTTAGTTCGTCCGTTTTGCCAACGACGGGGCATGTGAATGTCAAACTTACTTTAAAGGTACTTATGTCATTTTACTTATTCTATTCTAAGTCAATTTTAGTTTCTAAATGAAATTGTCATCATTTGTAAAACCATTCTCGCTCGTCGCTGTCGTCGTCGGGCCCGCAGTCCGGCGCGCGGTCGCACCGCCAGGCGGCCGGCACGCAGCGTTTGGACCGCGCCTGCCCCCAGTATAGTGTAGTGTAGGGCATGTTACCGCAGTCCCGCTCGTCGCTGTCGTCGTCGGGCCCGCAGTCCGGCGCGCGGTCGCACCGCCAGGCGGCCGGCACGCAGCGTTTGGACCGCGCGCACGCGAACTGGTCGGCGCCGCACTGCGCCCGCGCGCACGCCGCACGGGACTCGTCCCACCCGTCCGTGCAGTCTGAGTGACAAATATTACGCTATACGCGGGATCCGATGCAACTAAAACTTCGTATGGGCCATATTATTATGACTTATGTGTGCTCACACTTTGAACAGATGAAATATTTGGACATTATGTTGAAAATACAAGTCGAGAGATTATACCTCTTTAAGCGCTAAGTTAATAAAAATTGATATTGAAAACGATACCTTCCAGCCTTAAATGAAGTCCATAACAAACATGTGACACATGATGAGAGTAGAGTTTATCATAAGGACGATAAAATTATTCTCCAAAAATAAAAATAAATAAATATTTTCAACACTCACGCCAATTAGCCTAGCCCCAAAGTAAGCACTGTAGGCTTGTGTTATGGGCTACTAGGTAACGGATAGAATGCATATACTATACATGTATAAGTATATTTATATAGAAATACATATTTAACATCCATGACTGGAGTACAAATACTCGTATTCATCACACAAACATCTGCCCCCACCGGGATTCGAACCTGGGACCTCGAGTAAGCGACACCATGAGACCCGGCGTACAAACCGCACGGCCACAGAGGTCGTTAAAAAAGGTAATATCATAGACATTCCGTGTCATGTTCACTCCGTATCTCTGCGTTACAGGTATAAATATTTACAAAATATGATATTTGAAAATTTCCTATATAAGTTAAATGAAAATAAGTATTCAATACATAAAAACGTTCAAACATCAAGGTGAATCACATAACTGACCTTTGGTGCCGTCGCAGACCCAGCTCTTGGGTATACACCGATGTTTATCGCACTGCATGAAATGCTCCGTGTCGCATGTTACGTTAGCTGCAAGAAAGGAAACTTTAGGGCGTGCACTGCGTTAAGCGGGAACACGGAACGGACGTCCGCTCTGCGTGCATTTTTATGTCATTTCATAGAACAGCGATGCGACTGGAGACCCGCCCCACACAGCGCTGCTCTATAAAAATAACATGAAACAAATAGCAGAGCGGACATAAGCTTCGTGCTTCCGTTTAAGTCAACGCAGGCTCTTTAAATGGACCAATTTATAATAATTACTGCAACACTGAAACGGAGAACATCTTACGATTTTTTTGGAGTTCACTCCTTAAGAATCGATTTGCATATATAAGGGGCCCTGTATGAGAAAAATGTGAGGAGTAAAATCTATCGATAAATGACATTAAAAACCTCGTTACGTTTTTGTGCGCAACCTCATCTGCGCACTTTTCACTTTTAGCCATGGCAACGGATAAAAAACATTAAGTTGTCACAAATGTCAATAAAATAAATAAACTAAAAATAAATAAAATCGGAGCAAAATTAATGAAAACATATAAATAACAGAATATAGAGAAATGCCAGCACTCTAAGTGTCAGCACTCTGGAATAGTGATTTTCAGTACAGATGGAATTATAATACATATTTACAAAATGACTAGTGTGTGATATTTTTGAAATTGTGTATTTCCAGAAATACATAATAAAATATATGATGAATATCGCTGATGTTAGATGATAAAATGTGTGACATGGAATCTATGATAGTCGAAACCATGGGACGATTCCTGAGGTATCTCTAATTGTAACCGACTTCTTCGGACTTGATTTTGTTTTGTGTCTGTTCAAAGACAATCGTTTTTAGAGTGTAAACTCCGGTCGGGCGTCGGAGCTGACACACACATTTTTTTTGAAGTTATACTTCTTTAGCCGCGTTATGAAAAAATTATGAGAGTGAAATTTTAAGATGCGCGCGCATCACTGTAACAGAAAAGTAACATAATGAAGTTAGCCGCGGGCGCGTTATGAAAAAATGATGAGAGTGAAATTTTAAGATGCGCGCGCAACACTGTAACAGAAAAGTAACACCATGAAGTCGGCCGCTAAACCGCACATTACTCGTAAGTCTCGAAAAAAAGCTTCCAACAAAATAGTAATAGGATCTCTTAGTCGCACATGTTGGGACACTCGTCGCCTCTGATCACTGTTTTCATATTTATAATATTTATCCACATGTTTCTAGTTTCTATATTCTTAACACGTGTTATAATGTTATACAAATGCGAAATTTATATGTGCTAATAAATTTTATTCAGTAGTGATTTAAATTGAATATTTTGATTATTTATTAAATTTTTCAAATTAAAACTGAACTTTATTGACTGCGTTGACTATCCTTTTCCAATCCTTTTATTATCTTATTGTAATTAATTATCTGCATGCAATTAAAAACTATTTTTTAATAATTCCAAAAAGAAGTATAACTTCTCAAAGTACACGCACCCATATTTTTTTGCTGTCTAGGTACTAAAATATGTTTTCAATACGTAAGTAATCAAATCTCGAGTTTGGTATACATTGTTAAAAATCTGAATTCTTCTATACAGAGTGTAAAAAAACCTTTAACGAAGTCGAAGGCCACGTGTTTTTTTCCACATCATGACGATAATATTTTTCTTCTGGACCATACCTGGGAAATTTATGATTATGGAGATATTGAAGGTCAAATTCACAATTTTTTTTTCATGATGTTTACTAAAACGTTATTTAATTTAGACTTTTTTATCGACACACTTACAAACACGCACACACATACACACAGGCACATTGTTTGCGTAGCGCCACAGTAGCGCGCCGCGCTATACATTGAGTACTAGAAAAAAAAATGTATTTTTTTACTTAAAAATACAAATGTTCCTACGTATATTACTTGTTTGGATGTACAGAATGCGCAGTTTTAGTCTTTGTCATAGGTTTTTTTACACCCTGTATATTAAATGAAAGGTATCCTTAACGCCCATTGAATTCAATAGATTTTGTGAACTCTGAAATGGTAAGTAAGCACATGATAGGTGTATAAACGTAATTAACAATTTTGTAATGTATGGCAAATGGTTTCCTGTAAATGTACTTAATGAAATAAATATGGTTGATTTCATACCACAGGGTCCGTCGGGAGAGGAGTCTTCGTCGCTGCCGTCGGGACAGTCCGTGTCGCCGTCGCACACGTACAACGAGTCTATGCATCGGCTGCGAAAATGAAATACGATTTGAACATGTGGATTTAAATATTACATGGCTTTTGGATGAATAAGATGTGTCATTGTGATAATAGATCAATTAAAAAAGGCAATTTCAATGTTTTAGAATAGAAAATTATATTCTATTTAAAGTCCGTTAAAATTATTTTATATTACCTATACTAATTTTTACAGAAATTTTGCTATTAACACCGTTATAAATAAGAGTAAGAGATTGGAACTTTACTATCTGTATAAAGGCCACATCCTTACACATACAATCCGGCCATTTGGCTTAACTGTTCATGTACTGTGTTTCATTTGTCCCTTATTAGTTTCACAAGTAATTGGCTTGTTTGGATTGTGTCGTCGCTCCTATCGAGTGTGATACTGACCCCTTCCCGCAGTGGAAGTGTCCCTGCAGACACGGGGAGGGCGGGGCCGTGACGGCGGCCCCCCCCGCCCCCCCGCGCGCGGAGGGGGGGCCGCAGGCGCGTCCGTCGGGCGCCAGGTGTCGCGGCGCGGCGCACGCGCACTGTCGCTCCTATCGAGTGTGATACTGACCCCTTCCCGCAGTGGAAGTGTCCCTGCAGACACGGGGAGGGCGGGGCCGTGACGGCGGCCCCCCCCCGCCCCCCCGCGCGCGGAGGGGGGGCCGCAGGCGCGTCCGTCGGGCGCCAGGTGTCGCGGCGCGGCGCACGCGCACTGTCGCTCCTATCGAGTGTGATACTGACCCCTTCCCGCAGTGGAAGTGTCCCTGCAGACACGGGGAGGGCGGGGCCGTGACGGCGGCCCCCCCCGCCCCCCCGCGCGCGGAGGGGGGGCCGCAGGCGCGTCCGTCGGGCGCCAGGTGTCGCGGCGCGGCGCACGCGCACTGCGTCCCGCGCTCCGCCGAGATACACAACTCCGAGCACCCGCCGTTGTTGCGGGAGCACGCGTTCTCGCCTGACACACGAACGAGCGGAACATAATACACACTCGAGTATATTAAGCGGCTATTTCTTTTTATGAAACTGGTTAAAATGTACCTTCATTTTTAATTTTAGAAAATTTAGCTCGGTCTTGATCATAGGATGGAATCAAAATCTAGCAATGTCATTGACAGAAAGGAATATTTTATGTTATTTTAATATAACCGTAAATATGGATGTTGTAGGACGTAAGTATGACTTTTTTAAGAAATGAAAATGAAAAAACTAAATCTAAAAACCGGTAAAGTGTGAGTCGGACTCGTGCACGAAGCGTTCCATACTATAATTATACATCTATACAATATTATACACTATATTATAAAACCAAGAAAAAAACACACAAATCACGTTTGTGGTATGGGTTTATTTAATTCTGTTTTTAGTATTTGTTGTTACGGCAGCAACCAAACCAGTTGAATTTTAGTAATCTTACCCTATACGTACGGAACCCTAAAAGCAGAAAAATCCCAATAGTTCAT